TGAGCATCGCCAGCCCCAGCCAACGCCTGGGCAGCCGGCAGTGCCACCCACCCTCAGCCCTTCCCTGCCCTCTTCTCCTGCCCTCTGCTCTCCTCCCCTCCCCTCCCCTCTCGTCCCAGCTGTCGGATGGGGCAGGAGGTGGACCCGAAAGGCCCTGCGAGGCTGATGGGCCAAGTCCTCGGGATCTGGGATGCCGCGCCAAGGGGGCATCTGGAGCGAGAAGCGATGCCCTGGGGAAGATCCCTCTGCTTCCCCCAACACGTGGCAACCGGCCTCTCTGGGTCCTGCCCACCGTCTCTCTGACAGTCTCTCCTGCTCCTCTGGGCACAATAAAGCTTTCCTGCATCCATGTCGTTTGTCCCTCCCTCCTTTTCCCACATTCAGTCCCTGGCAGCTCTGGGAGTGCAAATGCTGTTTTCTCCATATTTACCTTGGGATACCATATCTGTTGTCATTCCCAGGAGAGAATATGCGATTCCTGGTTTCTCCTTCTCCAGCTGCAGATGAGTGGTGCTGATCTCAGGGAAAATCTTCTTTTTTCTAATTAGGGAGAGGAATTTTTCACTTATATAGTTGCTGGCATGATTGGAGTTCACGTGGTTAGACTGCAGATGCCTCTTCGAGAAATGCATGCATACTTATATATAAATATGTGTATAGATATATATTTGGGCCATAATATTCATATATTAGAGGGTGGTATCTTAGCTACTGTTCACAGTCTTTCAGAAGAAGGTGTGATGCTGCTCTCTCACTCTTCAAATCTTTGTACGTCGACAAAACTTTTACTGTATCATATTCAGGGAATTTGTTGCTTGCTAGAGGTCAAAAGCAAATACAGATCATCTGTTTCTTAGTTTTACTCAGGATGACCCATCCAACAACATGATTTTTACCCCTTACTGTGGTATGTGTGAGAGTAATTGACTTAAGATTAGTGCCATTCAAATTTCTTGGATTCACCCTGTCTTTTTGGAGAAGTAGTCCCACGTCAGCAGTAAATGGGAAATTGGGTGTGCTCTTCCCCTTGTTTTTACAGGTTCTGCTTATACTACCCCTACTCTCTGGTATTCTCTATTTACAATGTATTCACTCAAGAACATACAATCTCCCTATTCCTTACCATCACCTATTTGGGGCTACTCAGTGAATTTTTCCTCTTCTGTCACTTCTTTCTGATTATGGCCTGTGTTACACCAGATCTTTTCTCCATAGTCAGCAGGTGCATGGCTTTGCTCTGTATTACTGAAGATCATACCATTACTGTTACTCCCATCAGTTAAGCCATCTTGTTTTACCTGTCTTAAAGTCTGATTCCCTCCTGTTTAATGCCACTCAGCTTTATGTTATCAGCACATAAAACAGAGTGCTCCCAAGTTATGTGCCAATGCCATTAATGAAAACAAATAATTTGAGGTTTTCTGAGACTGATCGTTGAGCAACAAATGTAGTAAAACCCCTCCATTCCTATAATTCCCATATAACATTAGACACTGACAGAAAGGGTATCTCTATGTACTATTTTGCAATCAGACATGAGCTCACCCTGAACAGGCATCCAGCCCAAATAGAAGCTACGTAATCATGTTAGCTGGATGCTAATAGCTCTTACCAATCTTGTTATATTGGGCTAGGCACTTGCTGTCTGACATGATACACATCTAATTGGGTGCTGGCTGGTACCTGCCTGGCACTGCCTCATTGAGAGTATCAGTGGAAAAGTTGGCAGTTGGAGCTCAGGTGCTCAGCTGTGATCATGTATGATTTACACTGAAGTCCTTCTTACAGGCTGTGCATGAGAGCAAGGACCCTGGTGTTGAGCAGAAGAGAAATGGAGATGAAACCAGGCATCTTCATTTTGTAAAGCTGTCCCAGGAATTGCCTGGGACTGGGCTGAACTAGCTGGGAGGAAAGAGGGCTTTGCTTAGCACAAGAGAGCTACCTGAGCCGAGGAGATGCAGGGCTCATGTGACACAAGCCAGGAGGTTGGTTGCTGTGCTCCTGGGAATGGCAGCAGTGTCCTTGCCTCAAGCCATGTGAGGATGGAGAGGAACAGCAGGGACAGAAAGCTATTTCCTTGTACCCAAGAGGCAGGAACCTTTCTTCTCCACCTCAGCTGCTTGGGCTCTTCACACATCCCAGTCACTCATGGTGCAGGGCTCTCAGCTGGGCCCTGCAATCTCCAGTCCCTTCTAAGATCCACCCAGACCTTTCCCAAAAATCCAAGGGCCATGAGGGCAGGCAGTGTTGAGACAGGGAGGATAAAGCAGGCAGAGAGAAGAGAACCTTTCAGGGAAGAGCTTTTTTTAGTCAAAATATTTTCAATAAGTATTTGTTAATCAGTAAAAATTAAATAGTAATTTATTGAAATAAAAGCGAGATTCATGAGTGGAACATCAAATTGCCTGTCAAAATCAGACTTGCTAGTCTATGACACTGACAGAGGGTTGAGATAAAGAAATTGTACATTCATGCACAGACCTTTTCTTTGAAAGAATCTCAGTGAAGTAATAGGTAAATCCTCTGTAATGCATTAGTTCATATTTTTTACTTCACCCAGCTGACTTACACTCAGCCAAAACTTCCCTGAGGCAATTGTTATCACAGCAGTGATTAAAAAAAAAAAGAGGTACTATTTGATCTTTGCTCATCAGATACCTATCTTAAAAATTGTTTCCCATTGTTTACCTTCCTCCTATTGTTCCTTTTCCAAATATGCTTTGACAGAGCTTCAGGCCATTTTTTTTTACATTGTCTTTGAACACAACTTGATGATTTCTAGTACACCATCTGGGAAGATATAAAATTAAAAGTAATTCCAGCACTAAACTAACTAGTTTAAAAAATGGACTAACTCCTGGAAGTCTGGCAACTAGAATAAATAGTGTAGGGGAGACAATAATTGTAGCTCAGTAGCAATGAGAGACTGGACAGATAGGTTTCGTAACAGCAGAACTGTGTGTGGCCAGGGCTGTGGGGTCTCCCAAAAGGCAGTTCAGCCAGGCTCTGCTGGGGCTGAGACACTGCCCTGGCCTGGCTGGCGGGGAACACATGCAGGGCGAGGGAGCCCTGCAGCCCACGCTAGGCCTTGAAAGGAAAGGCAGAGAGGCAGGTGTTGGATGCAGGCTTGCTTTATTGCAGTGCAGGAAAGCACCCACTGCAGAAAGACACACAAGGCAGAGGCAGGCAGGTTGTCACCCCGGGCTTCAAGAGAGGTGTTCCTTCAGGCTTCTCCCAGGCGGTGGCTGTTGTGGAGACAAGCAAGTGCCCTGTGGGACGATGGTGGAGTTCCACATTTGGGCACTGGCAGGGGCAAGTAAGGGGAGATGAAACAAATGAAGAAGGAAACGAGAAGTTTAATTTATGGAGCTATTCTGACTCCACTGTATTAAGTGGAAGTCTTTGATGCCCTGCCCTTACTTAGGAGCTCAGTTGAGGACCAAGAATGTATCATGCATTTGCCAGTCATTCTTTAGTCAAGGGATATTTCTATTTTAGCAGGGCCCACAGCTGCCACGGCTGTACCTGCTGTACTGGTAGGAGTAAGGGCTGCAAGAGCCAGAACCATAGGATCTATCATAGCCATACAGGCCCCTGTAACCCAGGGAGCCCCCATAGTCATTCAGACCCCCATAGCCCAGGGAGCCATAACGCCCATAGCCAAGGGAGCTCCCATAGCCCCCAAGGACAGGTGCTCCAGAGGATCCCACAACTGAATCCTGTGGGAAGGAGCTGAGGATGGGGCCTGGGAAGGTGATGATGACTGGAGGTGGCTGGATCACAGTTGTAGAGTCAGCGCACTGACACACAGTTCATTCCCACTGTCAGCAAGGGGCTGGGGGCGGTTGATGCCACCAACAGCAGTGGAGCACAGGTCGTAGCAAGACATCTTGCAGGGGTGGAAGTCAATCTACAAAAGGTGATTTTACCAAGTACAAGACATTATTTACATATATAAAAGTGCTATAGAGTTCACTGACTTTCCTCAGAGAAGAGTGCTTTGAAGTACACCATTTTGCCCATGTCTATTAGAAATGAAAATTGAAGCAGAACAGCCAAATTATTTGCTCAGATGCTTTGGTGAGTCAGTGGATCAGCAAGGACTGGAACTCCAAGAATGGAGTGTGCTGTTATGCATGATTTCATGACTCTAACTTTTCATTCCCACTGATCTCCTTTGTGCTGAGCCTTGTCAGAACAGGGATTATAAGTCATTGTGTATTAGGATTTGCTCAGTAACTTGTTTGATGAGACGATTACAAAGGAATTGCAAAGATTATTGTCCCCAGTTTCCAAACATTTAATCAGGGCAATGAGATATTTATGACTAACTTAACAACACAGTGTGTTCATTACGGGCCCCGAACTCTTTTGAAAAAGTCTCACCCCAAACAACTTGACCCCATCAACATGAAAAACCCAGTGCTTTGCCTGTCAGCTCCTTAAGTTGCCTCCATGATCCCTCTTTCTCTTAATTAAATAAATTTCTTACAGAGCATTTTCAACAGCTCTCAATTCTTCTGTGCCCTACTGTATCTAAGCCAGTGCCTGATCTCTGGTAGTATTCATGCCCATTTATCTTGAATTAATGTAAAAGCACTTTGAGTGATCTGTAATAGAATAAACTGGAGAAGGTCTGCTTCTAAGCTCAGCATTTCCCTGTGAACCATAAAGATTTAAACTTTTTCAAATAATTTCCAGTTACCCATATAAACAAACAGAGAAGAGGAATGCATATTGAACTAGTCACATCATTTCTTCAGCTGTTGGAAGTAACCTAATAATGAACTTAATTTTCTGCCATATCAAGAAACTTAGTTTTCTTTGAAATTAAATGCCAACCCTGAATGCAGAGAATAGCTGTCCATAATACTTTTAATCATTTTTGTAAGCTTCATCTTTTCACCTAAAATTTTACCCACTAGATCTTAATGGAAGATACCATCCTAGATTAAATTGTACAGCAAAGAGCTATTCCAATAGCTGTAAAGAGCAGAATCAGACTTACCCAATTCACTGAGAAGAACAAGCAAAGAGAAGAGGTTGGAAGAACCCTGAGTGGAGAGAACTTTTATACAGTTCAGACTGCCTGAGGCATGAGAAGCTGGTTTTGTGAACGTGGATCTAATTAGTTGATACAGCACATTTTTTGTATTGATAGCTCCGCAAAGCGATGAAATTGTTTCACTTTGTTTTTGTTTATTACTTGATTTCAATTATCATGTAACATAACACACGCATTACATCATGTAAGGTTCTTTCATCTAAGAGTCATGGGTGAAATTAATGCATCTTTCATCCTAAAACATGATTCATGAAATTAATATCAGTTTTCTATTCTCTTTGGAGTTGCACCACGTAGTAAGCGGCTTATACATAGATATTCTTCTTTTGCTGTATTATATGACAGTCAGACATTTATCGGAAATAACCTGCTGTGAGGTGTTTCTTTTGAAGTCCCTTACATAAGTTTTCTCTCTTCTTAAGGACAAAATACAGTCTATCATTAAATCCTCAGCAAGGTGGGCAATATTTTTTCTGTGATTAGGTTTATTTCTGAGATGTGATACAATTCATATTGGAGTCCATGGAGGATTCTCAGTACTCTGTGAATCAAATTATATTGTGAGCATTCCTGAACACACAGTGGCAGATGTCCAAAACAGCCTTAGATTTTATCTCACCCCCAAACTACAGCTTAAAGGTTGTCCTGGGTTCAGCTGGGATAGAGTTATTTTTTTTTACAGGAACCTGGGAGGTGGGGGGCATAGCCGGGGGCAGCTGACCTGAACTGGCCAAGGAGCTATTCCATACCATGTGACATCATGCTCAGTATATAAATGGGGAGCGGGCCGGGGGGTGGGCGCTTCTTTTCGGTGGGGGAAGTGGCAGAGCGTCGGGTCCCGGGTGGTGAGCAGTTGCACTGTGCATCACTCTTTTTGTATACTTTTTCATTAGTACCGTTGTTGTTGTTGCAATTTCTTTGTGTTGTTCCAGTAAACTGCCTTTATCTCAACCCTCGAGGTTCCAGTTTTGGTTTTTTTTTTTTCTCTCCTCCGTCTTCCCCCCATCCCACCGGAGGGGGGCAGGAGGAGTGAGCAAGCAGCCACGTGGTCCTTTGTTACCGGCTGGGCTGAAACCACGACAAAGATGAATTTAGTTCTGAAAGGAGAGATATTTATAGTTTTAATGCTCAAGATCAAAAGCTCAAAATAATCAAAGTGTACATTGAATTAATATCTAAATTTTTGATTTACTGAGATAGATGTGTGTTTTTGTAGAAGTTATATAGGAGAACCCCCAAATTTAACTGTATTAGAAAAAAAGAAAAACTTTCTTTTTTGAAGGAAGGAGAGCTGTGAAGTGAGATTTCAGAGTAACAGGCTAAGCCACAGTCTAATAACATTATCAACTCAATAAATTCATCCCAGAATATGCAATTATTACTGGTGTCCCACTTGCTCATCTTCTATGTGTTATCTCTGCCCTTCTTCTGTAATGCCTGCAGGTACATTGAACTGGCTCCTTTTGGCTGTTCAAAACTGCTCAGACCTACTGCTTAAATCAAAGACCATTCACAGGTCTTAAAGGATTCCTGCAGGTCTTGTTTCACCTGTGTATCCGATAGATAAAAGCAACCTTTTAGACATCAAAGTATCTAAAGTGTCATCAAAAAGTGGACAGATTCCCAGTGAATTTCTGAAATCATAAGCAGTCAGGGATACTCAAAACTTTCAGCTCAGTTTGATCCACAAGTTTGAGAGGGTGCATTTTCCTGAAGTTTCCTTTAATTTCTAGCTTGCTTCTCAGTCATCCTTGATCCTGGTCTACAACCGATCTTGCAGCTAACCCCATCTTTGATGGCATCTTTCAATAGAGAGCAATTATGAGGTGGAAATCTGCTGGGAAAGGCAGGTGCTGGCTTTTGCTGAGGTTTCTTTCTTTGTTTATGCCATTATTGTAACACCATATCATTATCATGGTTATCATAATCATCAACACGGTTATCTTCAGACCACATATTATTTCTAAATTATGAGCTTTTCCAAATCTAGAGATACGTATGCAGATTTCCTGAGCTATAATACAGAAAAAAGCCATCTCAAAGTTTTACAAGAACATTCCAAGAGATTTTCAAATACCTCATGAGCATCCATTACTAGCTTGTACATACTGTGTCATAATTATATAAAAAGTATGCCTGGATGCATACACCCTCCTATTATAAGCGATTATCACATTAAAATAGGTAAGTTAAGGTCACTTGGATCTTTCCCTTAATCAGTTCATTGTTTATTACACTTTTTGGATCTTCCAGATTATTGTGTTTGCATTGAGTAGCTGGAGGTAGAAGTGCGCCAAGTCTGCAGAAAGAATGTTTTTACCCTTGTTATTTGTCTCCAGCCTTCATTTGAGATAGTATAATCAACATTATACCTTGAGACAAAATGGGATTTATTTTACTAAGAGATCTGTAGCTGGACAAAAGAAATTACTGTCCTCCTGGCATCCTAATTATGCGGGACTCTTAAATCAAGTCAGCTTACTTCCTCCCCTAATGCTAAAGAGAGCAATGGAATACAAAAGTAATTCCACACATAAAGCCTGGAGATAATAGAAAGGTCTGTGGTGGAGTGTGCATGTCACGCTATGTGTGGGTTTGAAGTGCCTGCAACCCACAAGTAATAAGCAAAAACAATTTCAGCACTTTGAGGAACTACCTGTTCTACAATTTGGGGTTGGTACCTAATTATGAACTCACACATAGGATGCCTAATGTCCTCCAGGCAACCAACAGCTGTATAAAAGCTCTTTGCATTAAGTCTTTCTATCCACTCCTCACACCTTTCTCACCTTCGTGAATTGGGTAAGTCAGATTTGTCTCAAACTTCGCTAAACTTAACTTGCTGTCAAGAACTCTTGATTTTAACTCAGGACCAAGTCCTCTCCAGTTACTGCCAGGCTGACAGTGATCTCTAGATTATTTGCTGCTGGAAATAATGTTTGGTTTCTCATTTGTTACTAGGTCCTGTAAAGATAGGCTGCAGAAGAAGGGTATATCAAGCAGTTTTAAATCCCAAACTTGTAACATTTTAGCTTGCCAAAGAATTCCTTGACTATTTTAGGAAGTAAAGAATAATTCATATGCATGGTTGTATATGGCTGCATTTAGCAGAGTTCTGCTGAGTTTTTAACAGGAAAGATCAAACTTATCAAGTAGAAAACGTCAACTAATAACGATGTAATACTATCAAAAATAGCTCATCTGGAAATACCAAAGACACAATTGAAAAGTACACTACTTAGTCATACTGAAGTCAAAACTAGCCTCCAGATTACACTGCTAGGAAGAACAGTAATAGAAAATATGTTTACTTCCCAGATTTGTTACTGAGACCCTGTTGGACTGCTTCATCATAACCTAATGTTTGATATTTCTTTAATGTTAACATAAATGACCATGTTTTAGACTGACTTCCATCCTTGCAAGATGTCTTGCTACAACCTGTGTTCCACCTCTGCCTGCGGCGTCAACCGCCCCCAGCCCCTCGCTGACAGCTGCAATGAGCCGTGCGTCCGTCAGTGCCCTGACTCCACAACTGTGATCCAGCCACCCCCTGTTGTCGTCACCTTCCCAGGCCCCATCCTCAGCTCCTTCCCACAGGATTCAGTTGTGGGATCCTCTGGAGCACCTGTCCTTGGGGGCTATGGGGGCTACAGCTCCCAGGGCTATGGAGGCCTGTATGGCTATGGGGGCTCCTCCCTGGATTGTGGGGGTCTGTATGGCTATGGGGGCTCCCTGGGTTACAGGGGCCTGTACGGCTATGGTAGATCCTATGGTTCCGGCTCTTGCAGCCCTTACTCCTACCAGTACAGCCGTGGCATCTGCGGGCCCTGCTAAATCCTACAGAAATATCCCAAGTGAGCTATAACAACAAATGAGATGTGATGGTTTCACAGCTAAAGAGATCTGAACCTCCACTGCTCTGTTCCAAGACCACAGAGCTGTATCCCTTCAGCCCCCTTTGAATTTCTCCTCTTCTACTTCCAGTTTCTGCCTTAATGCTTCTCCCATGACATTTCCATGTTGCCTAGGGTAAACATGTAACAAAGTTGCTCAAAACAGTTCCTGTCTGTTCAAATCAACAGCTAAGACTCAGGAAGGAAAAAAAAAAAAAAAATCAATCACATGTGAATGTATCCCTGACTGGAGAACTGTACTTGGAGATTCTGAAAATGTATTTCTTTTCTCACTATCATTAAAAGTTTACTGCATCAAAGTTGTCATGTTCTGGTATTCTCTTCTCATGTTTTCACCCTTATTATTTGTCTTGGGAGAAATCTAACCTGTGCAGCTGTCAATAACAGTTTAAACTATGAAGTTGAACATCCTGCCCCAAAAAAACAGGGATTTTAAGTGTACAAAAGCAGCACAAAGCCCTCAGCACAGAAGGAACTACTGTCCTGCCGTCCCCATTTTTCAGATAAAGATTCTTGAAATTTTTGAAGAATTTGGCTTCTTGGTGGTACATCCACTGGTTACAGATTAGTAGTGGTAGAGAAATGAAATGGTAGATTACTAATTTTAAACCCTTTCCTAAAAAACATTAGACTTTAGTAAGAATTTCTTCCAGGTAACTCTTTGATTCATCTCCTTGAACTTCAGGATCTCACTCAAATAATTAAACTCCATCCTCAGTAATAGTCTCTGCAGAAAGTTGAATTAATATTCTGTCAACTCCTTAAAGAAAGTTTTCTGGGCCATACAAGGGAACTTTTAAATCTGAAGTGTGGGTAATGGTCTTTCTGTATAATAATGAAATCTAAGGTGTTGGATGTTTTTTGACAGAAAAACAGCTACTCCATACAGCTACACCAAGGGCTAATTCATCTATGCCAGCAAGAACAGCTGGAACAGATAGAACAGAGTTATAGTGCCTGGAAAGCTTAAAAGGTAGAAAAAGTCATAACCCTGTATACATATCCTCAACACTGTTGTTGTGTTTCCCAATTCCTTCTGCCTGGGAAACCCTCACAACAGAAACCCCCATTTTCAGCTGCTCTAACTTTCAGCCTCTCCCACAATAGTCCTCATCTAAAAGGTCTGTTAGATAGTCTACTCACCCCTGAAGAGCTCTTTTCCTTGTCGCAGCTCCAATCCTCTCCCTCTCAGCAGCTCTGTGCCAATACCCTTTACCACCCTCTCCCCACCTCCCTAAATCCCTTCTGACTCAGGAGCATCCCTCCCACCTGAGGGCCTCATCTGCCACTCTTTTGCCCATAATTTACTTTGAATCCAGCCTCAGCTGAGCCACCAGCTCTACTCCTGCTATGATCCGCAAAGATGTTCAAGTAGTTCATTAGAGAATGGAGGTTTAGTGTGGTTTCTTTCTAAACATAATGTTATTGCTGTAACCCAGATCAGCTGTGGAGGAAGGATTCCTGCCCCAAATGGGTGCACTGAGTGCAACAAAGAGTGATTGACTTTACTGATAGCTGGGCCATTTCAGCTGTGTTTTTGAAGTCTGAGCTTCAACCTACGTAAGGATTTGAGTTTCCCCATTTGCAGAGAGGAAAGTTGTATATCCATAGCAGAAGAAATTAAAACTAAAAGTTGATTTGTTTGATGCAGAGTAGAATCACTTTAATGAGAAATAAACATTCACAGAAAAGCATTGTAGAATATCAAGAATATGCATCAGAGTGGAGGCTGTTCCTTCTGTAATTGTTCTTCTTCAGTTGGACAGTGAAGTGCCATTTTATAAGAATATAAATTACTTGTTTTATCCTACCCATTATACACATAGATGGAAAAGACCGTGAGTAGAGGGTGAAGAAATTAAGGATGTGCAGTGTGCTCCCAGCTCTGTTGCAGTGGGGTGGCAGTGATCAGGACTTCACAACAGCTCCCTTGGGACCACTGCTGTGGATCAAGATTGTATCTCCCAGTTGCTGGTTAGTCCTTACTCAGGGGGTATTTCTGTAGGATTTAGCAGGGCCTGCAGTGGCCATGGCTGTACCTGTTGGACCAGGAGGAGTAAGGGTTGCAATAGCCAGAACCATAGGGTCTACCATAGCCATACAGACCCCCGTAACCAAGAGAGCCTCCACAGCCATACAGGCCCCCACAGCCCAGGGAGCCGTAGCCTCCATAGCCATATAGACCCCTATAACCCCGGGAGCCATAGCCCCCATAGCCATACAGACCCCCATAGCCCCGGGAGCCATAGCCCCCAAAGCCATACAGGCCCCCGTAGCCCCGGGAGCCGTAGCCCCCGTAGCCCCCAAGGACGGGTGCTCCAGAGGATCCCACAGCCGAATCCTGTGGGAAGGAGCTGAGGATGGGGCCTGGGAAGGTGACGACAACAGGGGGTGGCTGGATCACAGTTGTGGAGTCAGGGCACTGACGGACGCACGGCTCATTGCAGCTGTCAGCGAGGGGCTGGGGGCGGTTGACGCCGCAGGCAGAGGTGGAACACAGGTCATAGCAAGACATCTTGCAAGGATGGAGGTAAGCTGCAACACACACTAATGATTAGACTAAGTAGAAGACAAAGACTTCAAAATTCAACAGTTTACATTAAAATAATGAGTCAAGTACAAGTAAATAAATTGATTTCCCACTTTGCAATCATAATCCTCTTTTTTCAAAAATCAGATTTTCGAAAACTCTCTAGAAGATGTCTACGCATACAGAAGCATATGGGAAATGTTATGCCTACCTCTGAAAGTGGTGTCCCTCATGAATATCCTGCAAAGAACTTAGATATATTTGTACACGTTAAACTGAACATTGAGAAGCAAAAACAGAGAAAGCAAAGTGACTTTGTCCAAGGTCATCTGATGAGTCAGTAGGAGAACCTGGATTTGGGTTCAGCAGGTTTACATGAGATGTAGTTCATGAATATCTTAATTACAGTAGCTTCTTCTTCCCACTCATCCCAATTTTGCTGAGAGTTGTAGGAACAACAGATTATAGGATTGTGACTGCCCAGATTGCTCAGAAAGCCATTTGACAAGACAACAAAGGACAGATGGTAGCATTATTATCCCAACTCCCACCTATGCAGCTACTGTATGGATACAGCCTGGACAATTTCAATATAAATAGTGTTTTAGTCCCTAATGTCTTTCAAAAAACTCATTTCAGATTATTCTTCCCAGGACAAACCAGGACTCCTTGATAAACCCAAGAATTCAGCCTATATTCTCCCCTCTAAATTTAGTTATTTTCTCCAAGGGTGATTTCACTCTTCTCCACTCACTATGTCCTGGAAGTCCTTAGAAGGGTTCTGAGAAAGAACATGAAAGCAAGAAAGTAAAGGACAGCCAGAAGATTTGCTGTACTGGGACAACACACACAACTTTCTCGAATATATTGCTTGTTCATCTCAGATTGCATGAATGGCTGCAGTGGTGATGCCCTTATTCAATGTTGAACCTCATATGCAAACTTTAGAATAGGTTAAATGCATTGAAGTAAGAATTATAGAATATCTCCAGTTGGAAGGGACCCATAAGGATCTTTGAGTCCAACTCCCCCCTCCTCCCAGGACTACCTAAAACTAAACCAGGTGACTAAAAACATTGTCCAGTTGCTCCAGGGTCCAGTGTTTCTGACACTGAGAACTCCTCAGAGCCCCACGCACCAAATAGGGGTGTATCTGCCACCCCAGAGGCAGCATTAGAATCTCTGTCCCAAGGCAATGCAGATACACTCGACAGTATGGTTGGTGGACATTAACTGAAGTTGAAACCAGCAATAAAAAGATACACTGATAGCAACAGAGAAGAATCAGACTTACCCAAGTCACCAAGAAGTCAAGGGAAGTGTTTGGAAGAGCTATGAGATGGAAGAGCTTTTATATTGCAGCAGCTGGAGGTACAAGAAGAGCATTGGTTGTCCAGCCCAATTTCAGGCACATGTAACTCATCAAGGTGATGAAATTGCTGTGTTCATTACTGGAGTTTATGAGTCCTTTCAAATCTGTTTGTAATAAGGACCTAAACATCACTTTAGCTTATAGAGAATTCTTTCATTTTGTAATGACTTGGGGAAAATTAATACCTGGCATTATTTCAGTCACTTCCTTGAAATTACAACAGAAATTATTAAGCCAGGTCCTCCTGTATTAACAACTGGAGAGTGTCTCATGGGTTTATCAGAATTACAAACTGCTGTCACAGGCAGGATTTTTGTTTAAGTACATATAATTCACATTACAACCTGCCAGGACAGAAGTTAAAAACTGTCAATATGATATTCAGGAAGGTTGGGGGTGGTTTCTGCGTGTTTAGTTTCCCCACCAACGGTTGGGGGACACAGCACCCTTGGGAGTCAATTATGTTTTCCAGTAGTATTTGACACTGGCTGTAATGGGCACAATTCAGCTCAGAAGAGCAGCAGCAACTCCCGGGACCTGCAACATGTGCTTTAGTCTCTAAATAGGGCTTATGTGGAAATTGAAATTTAAATTTGACAGAAAAAATGGTGAAATCCTTTGTTTTGGAGTGCTGGGAACTCTTTTCATGCAGATGTGAGCTGAATCAGTTTCTCCATTCATCAGTCACATAAACAGTTGTATTCTCTTATAAAAATGTGTAGGGCTAAGTCTGTAGAATTTCACATAGCAGATGGAGAGGAAGCCTTTATCTTCCTGAGGCTTGCTTTTGTTTTTTTAAGAGATAAACAAGGAATGAATTTCTGAAGTTAACTAAAGCTACTAAGGGATTGGAGATCCCAAAGAGACTTTTTCCAGGTATTGTTGGTTTGATGTTGTCAGTACAAAGATGGTACTTAAGAATATCTAATAGGCCTGAGGAAACCTAAGCTTTTTCAGTACAAATGGATCCTCTGGTGCAAAAATTGAAATGTGACAGAAGTGCTTTGAATTACTGACTGATTCTCAGGACTTATGACCTCCTGTAACACACTATTGTTGCTGCAAGCCATAAATCCAGAACAGGGCTGAGCTGGCAGTTTCTGTGAACAGGGAACAATTATGAACTTGGAATGCACCATGCAAAACAAAGGCTGGTTCTTCCCTTGTTTACAGATGTATTATTTTAATACTGAAGGCTCTGTGCCATAGATTATCTCTAAATTATGAGGTGGGTTTCTCAGCCTTTGAGGTGGTTAGAAGTTTTTTTGGACAGTAATATTTTCAAGCTTCCAGAAAGCAAGTCTCTTCAAATGCCATGAACTATTCACTAATGGTTTGAGAATGCATTCTTACAATCAGATTAAAGACATGTGCCTGGATTTAGGTGCCTAGCAATTATGGAATGACATCACATTAAAATATGTAAGTCAAGGTATTTGTGTCCTTGGTATAATCAGTTAATGGCTGAAAACTGGGGATTTGTGGATCTTCAGTTTTTTTCAGTGTAGAAGTATAGAATGAAATATAAACTTTTAAATAAATCCAGCATTTCATAAGCTGTATAATCAGTGTATCTTTATAATTTTCAGTTGCACATCAGAGCACAGAAACAGAGGATTTAATTATTTTCTTGAGATGTTACAATTCTATCAATGATCATCCTTTATCTGTGTAAATGATTTCTCTGTCTCTATCATAGCATATCTCCAGAGAGCTTTAGCAAGTTGCTACTCATCATGTTTCATTTAATTTCATTTCTCAGTAGTCTCCAATATTGCCTGATCTGAAGATGGACATATAAATGGATCCCTGAAGGCTTTGTATCAGGAAACGGAAAACTGGAAAATGTGGGTGACAAATGCTTCACAAAGAAAGTGCCTTGTAATCTTGAGTACAGAAAGGGTAAGTATTAGTTTGCCTCTAGACTCCAACCTGTGTTGAAATACAGTGAGAGACCTGTTAGAAAAAAATGAGTAGTTTAAAAGGAGGTTCTATCTCCACCTTCTGCTTAAAATTGTTCAAAGGACTTGCCAGCGTTTGAGAAAAAGACAGGGAGAGTAATCCACAGCTGAATGCACAACAAAGAAAGTAGGAGTTATTTCCCCAAGTCCCTTATTCATTAGACGAGGCCAGCATTTTATTCAGAAGCAAAAGCCGAACAATAGAAAACCATTTAAGGACCATAGGATGTTTTCTATGGCTTCCTTTGGGTGCAGAATTGGTCTTATATTAAGTAGCTGAGAGTGCAAATGATAAAGATAAAAATGACGACCCCAAAGTTGCTTTAATGGAACTCCATTTCATCTGCAGGTATCTTACAGCCTGGATTTAATGGAAAAATCTGTGCACATCAGCTGACAACAGCCATGCAGTGAGCAGCCAAGTTTTGCCATTAATAATGGACAAGCTAAGGAAGAGCGTTAGTATAATTGTTGTTGTAACGCCAAGGATGTGAATGGAATGATAACAGGAATGAATATGACATTTAACCATTCAAGGTGAAAGAGGCTTCTGTGATGAAATGTATCTATGATATTTCATGAGACTTTGAACCAACAAATAAACAAATAGTCAGCAAAACTTTGAGGACCTATGTGTCATATTAGTTTCATGTTTGCCCCAATTATGCACATGAACAAATTGCACCTTAGGTGATCCCCATGATCTAGGGAACTGTATAAAAGCTCTTCCAACTCAGGGCTCTTCATTCCACCTTACTTGCTTTATTCACCTCTGTGAAAAGGGTAAGTATCATTCTATGTGATCTCTTTCCTAAAATTCTGGTATCTCTTTTCTGCTGGTTTTAATTAAGGTCAGAATAATCCATAAGTATTCGAAGATTCTTAGTAATGTTGGATTATTTCACTGTGAATTTATTTTTCTTACTTGGTGTTGGACATCCATGTATTCGGGTTTAAAATGGTAAAACTATGTTTTTCAAAAATTATTGTTTCCTGTTAATACAAATTTGAGCTATCAAAGCAGCTTCCAAAGCATCATCAGAAAGCTTGTTCAATCACTGGGAATTTTTTAAAGATTTTGCATGTGAGTTTTTGATATGTGTCTATGTATATGCATGTGTTTGTTGAGGGGACAAGCTTAACCAGAAAGAATATAGAAGTATTGCCTAAAGAAGTATTGGAAAACAGAGATGAAACTAGGAGATCCTAACCTACCCTTTACTTTGTCCATGCTTTGAGCAAGGAGTTGGACTAGATGACCTCCAGAAGTCTCTTCTAATCTAATATTTTATTGGTTCTAGTGGGGAAAAAAAATTGTTTACAGGCAGTATTCCTAGTCCTTCCATGGGATCCTATGGTGAAAGTCTTTCTGAAGAGCTCAGATCCCAACATACTTATCTGCAGTAGAAACCTAGCCCTTGTTATCTGAGTGTACCAGTTTCCCACCTGGGAAATCAGACAAATAATCTTTTCACCCACCCTGTGGCCCCCAAACTACTTTGCAACCGCTTCAGGGCAGGGAATGCCTTATTTAATCTGTGTTTATAGCAGGTTCAGCATACTGGCAGCATGACTTTAGCTCCTGCTTCTGGAAGCACATTGCAAGTCAATATGACAGAGTTGTTCTTCCGGCTACCCATTAATTTACCACAGGAGTTTTGCTGGTTGTCAGGTCACACTGTTTTAGCTAGTATAAAACAAACATGAAATGACCTTTCAGATACAGACGTTGTAAGAGTGGCTGCAAAGTATAGCGGAAGTAATTTACAAAGTAAAGATAATATTTTTGCAGTGTTTGGCAGGGGCGTAGAACAAAGAACTACTTCATAAAGGGAACCAAGTAGAAGAAATTAGGAATGAGACCATAAAAGAGATGACTGATCAGTGTGCAATCTGGGCAATGGTGATTTACAAGAGGGAGAGAGACCTCATGAAAAATACTGAAGAAAAAGAAGGACAATCAAGACCTGAAAGATAAAGCCATTATTTTAGTCCATGTGTCCAAATTTCAAACTCTTTTTCCCACTGAATTTGTGTCTTTCGTTTACTCCCCAGTGTGTGTTGCAGCTTACCTCCATCCTTGCAAGATGTCTTGCTACGACCTGTGTTCCACCTCTGCCTGCGGCGTCAACCGCCCCCAGCCCCTCGCTGACAGCTGCAATGAGCCGTGCGTCCGTCAGTGCCCTGACTCCACAACTGTGATCCAGCCACCCCCTGTTGTCGTCACCTTCCCAGGCCCCATCCTCAGCTCCTTCCCACAGGATTCGGCTGTGGGATCCTCTGGAGCACCCGTCCTTGGGGGCTACGGGGGCTACGGCTCCCGGGGCTACGGGGGCCTGTATGGCTTTGGGGGCTATGGCTCCCGGGGCTATGGGGGTCTGTATGGCTATGGGGGCTATGGCTCCCGGGGTTATAGGGGTCTATATGGCTATGGAGGCTACGGCTCCCTGGGCTGTGGGGGCCTGTATGGCTGTGGAGGCTCTCTTGGTTACGGGGGTCTATATGACTATGGTAGACCCTATGGTTCTGGCTATTGCAACCCTTACTCCTCCTGGTCCAACAGGTACAGCCATGGCAGCTGCGGGCCCTGCTAAACACAACAGGAAAATCCACTGAATAAAGTACAAGTAAAAAACAAAATGCAGATTCACCAGTGAGCAGATGAGTGACAGCTTTGTTAAAGCACTCACAAACCCTGTTCAGTGCAGTGCTTTCTGCATGCTCTGCACCTCTCCTTTTTTCCCTTTGAATTTTTTCCTGGTATTGTCATGGGTTCAATTCCTTACTATCTTCTACTTTATCATACTTGTGACTGAATGCAGTGAGACTTTTAACAGCATCTTTCAAAATGTGTTTGTCTCTGACATCTTGGATACACATTCTTAATATTGCAATGTATTTTTGTTCTTTTCATTCTCATTAAAATTCTGTTGCATCATTTAAAATAAGTGTGTTGTGGTTTTGTGTTCTCATCCATTCTGAATTTGCCAACTTTTCTGGATAAAGCTGCCTGTTGTACATACGGCTGTGATAATATTGTGCAAATCTTGCCCACATAGTGAAAATCTCCATGAGGAGCCCTTGCTAGGCCTGTTTCACCACTGAATTGCAACAACATGGTCACAACGTGCTGTCCATAGATGAACAGCAGCCTTCTCTACAAATACTTTATTAGACTCCCCATTCACGAGTTTGAGTTTGTGCGATAATTCTTTGAACTACAAGTGACTATTCACACACTGAAAGTTAAGCTCTTACTTATTCCACTGCAGACTTCTAATCCAATGTTGTACATGTAATTACACCTCCACCGCTCGTAATGGAAGATTGGTGACTGATATTAAGTGAATTTCAGATTCTGTGTTTCTCTAGCACAGACCAGCCTAGATCCATGCTATTAAATTGTCTCGCTCTCCAAAATTCTGGCTGTGTGCAGATGATGCTTCCTCAAAACCACAATAAGGACCATGTGCATAATTTCACAGTATATCAGACTGAGTTTGTGGGTTTGGGACTTCTTTGGTTCTGTTTAAGTTATGTATACATTAAATATAAATAAAATTTGTGTATATATTATATAGGTAGCCTAAAAACGAACAAAAATACTGCACTGTACATGGCATAGCTTTTTAAGTTATCAGTAAAGCATGTAACCATCTTCTGATTCAAGCAGATGCTTATCTCGCAAGATAGTTTTCTTTATGTGGTTCAGCTGCCAAAAGATCTTAGGCTACATATTTTACTACAGTAAAAAGGATGGCTAAGCATAACATAACAATGTTCAGAGGACATCCAACTAGATACTGAAGGCAGAATATGAAAAAAGAAAGGCAAGATCTGCTGTGCATGCCCAGCTCCACTCTCTGTAACTGGACAGTGCTTAAAGCACACTTCTCAGCACGTGTTACCTAAAAAGTCAGCTATAAATCTTCCTTTTATTTGTTTTTATTTAGTTGCCTCTGGTAAATTTAATAGCTTTTCCAGCAAGAGCCACAGTTTCCACAGCGGTATCCAGTATCAAAACAGCCAGAAGGGATGTTCTACTTGCTGCCAGGTCCTAAAAACCTGTAAGAAAATCTGTTGTGATAAAGACTACTATAACAAAAGCTCCCATAACAAAAGGAGGCCCTAAGTATGGGTGCTAACAGAGATCCCACTATCCTGTCCTGAAGGAAGGAACTAAGCACCTGGGCTGGTAAGGTGATGACAATGGATGGTGGCTGAGCCAGTGCCCTCAGGTCAGGGCAGTCAGCTCCTTGCAGCTATGGGCACTGGTGCTGGACGTGAATTGGCCGAGTGGAAACATGACTAAATATAAGTGTAACACAGCACAAATTCCCCTGGAGCAGGAAGAAAAGCTTAGATCTCATGGAAGTGGGAAAGGCACAGAAGTCTGGATCCTCTGCAACACTAATTTAGTTCCAGATCCATCTCACCTAATTGTAGCTACCCCGCCAACATCTACTTGCTGCTGTGGATGTAATTCCTCAAATTTGTATACGCCCTGTAAGAAAAATGACTTTTAAGTGATGGTTAATCACTACTTAGTGGAAACACAGTAATATAGGAGGTCACATGCTTCCTCAGACAAATGGTAGCTCTTATACTCTACCTTGTCTCTGATAAAAGTCAGTTCCAGGTGGTCTGAAGTTTAGTGTAAAAATCCTGATGCTATGCATTATTGAATGAATTGTCCAAAGGCTCACCTAATTCCTAACACCCTGGAGGCCCTTTTTGCTGTGGATAAGAAAGCTTTGCTTACATGACTTTCAAGCTTTGGCTTTCTTCCATACAAACTAATTTGAAACAGCAGCTGGAAGACCAAGTAATTAACTACCAAGAGGACATATCCTCTGTTAAACATGGCTGTGACCGAGGCCTTTGTGGTGCAGGAGTACAGAGCAGTTTGTAGGGCTGCAGTCTGGGGTTTTGGTATCTGCTTAGCAGATTATAACCCTGAGATCTGAACTAGTGGAGAGTGACAGGTCCTATATAATCCATTGTGGAAAATACCAGCTTAGACCTTAAAACTGCATATAATATTGCCTCCTCATAAATGCAAAAGAGGACTAATTTAAATTTATGGAAAAAGAACAGTCTGATATCTAGAAAATAGCTGGCTCTGGGAAGAAGAAGGCAAGAGAAGTAAATAAAAGGCAGTTTTGAGGAGGCACTTATACATTTCCCCAAACTGCCTGAAGAACCTGAGACTCCCATTAACACCAACCCATGCTTATCACACATGGTTCACCTCAAAATGTTGAAACAGCTTTGCTCAATATTTATGTTTATTAGTTGATTCAAATTCTCATGCTGCACGAAATGCAAATTACAAAACAAATATTTCTTTCATCTTAGCACTTAATTGGTGAGATTTGTTCCTGGTAACATTCCATTAAATACATTAGAATGACAGGAGGAGTTATGTTGGCTTCATTTATTTACCTCTTCTTTTATTGGTTGACATAATGATGGTGGCTCAAATGTTAATCATGATTGCCATCTGCTTTCATATGCAGGTTTTCTTTCCATGCTTCCTTACCCATGGTAGATAAAGTATAATTGATATAAAACATGGTGTCTTTCTTGTGAAATCAGCAACCCATCTATGAAGTTCGAATTAAGATTTCCACAGGACCATCCCGCTCATTTAAGGGAAAAATCAAAAAATACATTACAAAGTACCTTTAAAATAATCCAGACTCATGCCTTGTCTCCCAGACTACCCAGTTGTACCATTTCTTCACATTTTAGAGGTAAATTCACTGGTCACAACAAAGGTAAACAGTTTTTTAGCCAGACTACAGGCAACTTGTTAAATATATTTTTTTAGGAAGATGAGCATGTGTTTAAAACAGAGAAGAAAAGATAGACCACTCACAGTTAGGCTAGGAAAGTCCTGGGAAAAGCTTTCAAAACATGAGGACAGAGGCAGATATTGCAGATTTTTGTGCTACAGACACTGAAGGGGATATGAATTAATACAACATCAGCACTGAAGGAGCTTATAAACAAACTTAAGCAAATAAATAAAAACCTAAATTATAAAAGAAAATCAACTCAAATCCTAAGGTTAGAAATCATGAACTGGTAAAGGGAACGGGAAGAGTGCTCTTGACCAGTACAATTTAATAAAATTTCACCCATATTTCAAAATGCTGGGCTGCTTGAATCCAACCACATACTTATATTATAATAATGATGCACCACTTCATGCATAAACCACTAAGGAGTGTTGGGAAGTGCTTAAAAACACACACAAAAAATATTTGAAGAACCTTTGTATTATTGCTCTTGTGATCCCCTAGGGCTATCTCAAAGTTTGGAAAAAAGAACCTGATAATTTAAGTATAACTTCTGGTAGAAATGTTGCAGTGTTTATTATTTAACAAACAACCCATCCATAGGCAAATGAGGATTTCTGAGGCTGGACCAGGCACTGTTTATTACACAGCATTTTAGAATATGGGAATATGGGTAGGACACATCTCATCAAACCTTCCTTATCAGTTGAGCTTGTTGTCTGTCTCCATACTCAATGAAAGCAAAATAGTTATGTTTTGAGGGTGATACCAATTCTGGTAAGGTAAATGTCTGAGACAAGATGAATTGTCTTGCAGAAATTCTTGTCCCTCCCCATGAAGTATTGGGGAAGCCTGAGTAATTTCAAGTGACAAATCACTTGAAATTTTGGCAGGCAAGGGCTCTGCAACAATATGCACTTTGCAGGTGATGTTCTGCTAGTCAGGAAAGAAAGAAGAGGAAAAAAAGAATCCATTGTTGCAATAACTATTCCTTGGATAATTCCATTGCTTTTCCTGCCACTTACCCAGTAATTCTGGGAAAGAAGCACTCAAAAATTGTTTCTGTGACATCCTCCAGCGAAACGTTGGTTCAATTCCTTTGTAAGGTGAAGGAGTAGATCTAAGGGCAAACTACACTCCATCATATGAACAAAAAGAAAGAGAAGACAGAGACTGAATGAATGCAGTGGTGGACAGAAACATACGATTTCACAAAGAAACTGAGAAATTTGCACTTGCTTCACCACTATCTTGTGTTACCTCCTCCTTTAGAGCTGTGCAATGTCAATACAGAGTAGCTAGTAACTATTAATCTGTTTGAATTTGCAGCCATTTTATATTGCTGAACCTGGGAGATAATCTCTGTGCCTTTGCAGATTCCAGGTGAAAAATAAGGAAAAAATAGTTATCCCTTCAGAGAAAACTTTAGCCTTTGGTTTAAACACTGTTTCATGTACTAAAATACTATGTTTTCTGCAGGTCTGGCCAAGCAGCAAAGAAAACTCAGAATTTCTAAATCAAAGACCATTAGACAACGTCTGTGATTACCATAAGTACAGGACCTCTCTCATGTTTTGTGGCTGTGGGTGGGAAAAGGATCAGAAGGTGTCTTCCATCTCAGTGAACATTTCATTGCAAAATGTGTGAGTAGATTAGATTACAGTCTAGATCTAGAACACTTAAATACAAACATGTATATGACAGCAGGTTATAGCTCTGATTAAAATCATTACGCGAAGTTAATGAAGGAAATGCTAAATAAATAGAACCAGTTTAAAACATCCTGCAATGCCAGTGAGCAGGGTGGAATGATACCAGCAATGAAGTTGGTCAATTAGGCTTCAAGATGAAAGAGAACTAGGAGCTGGAATGTGCATATCATGCTATTCAGAGATTTGGGGTGATTTTGCAAACTGCAAGCGAAAACAGTTTCATCACTTTGGGAAGTTCTATGTGCTTCAAATTTGGGCTGGTTGGTGATTATGACTTCATGTGTACAGTGTGCCTCAGATCCCCCCCAGGCAATCTGAAGCACTGTATAAAAGGAGCAGGTACACAGAAGTATTCCATCTCCCTCTCCTGTGTACTATCCTCTACATCAGGTAAGTCTGATGCCATTTCATTTCTTTCTAAATGCCAAAATGCCTTTGCACTGGAGCTTAGAATACTGTTCATTAATATTATATTTGAAATTTTAGGACTATTTTTTAATTCTCTTTCTTTTTCTCTCTTTTTTTTTTTTAAGTATATTGGCAAGTTGTGTTACTGGTAGGCTTTAGAAGACAAGACCAGGGTTTGAGGCATTTATTTCACTGTAATTCATATTTGGGCATTCTTGTACTGTTAGCAGATTGAGAATGTAGGATGGCATAAGCTTTAAAATGCAGAATTCTCCTGTACCATTTCAGTTTATGGCTGAATCAGAGACACATGGCCATATCCTAAGTTGTTTAATGACCCAGCTGAAGGAAGAGCATTATCTACATGGGGATTTTATTGCAAAATAATCCTAGCTTGTATTTAGTTTTTATAGATAGGTAAAAACTAAATCCTGCTTATTTTAAACCCTAGTTATTTTCACCAGAGATAATAATAAGGGAAATATGCTAGTGGTCTGATCCAGTGTGTTTGATATATGTCCGTTTGTAAATCCAGATCCAGATTAGCTGTTCAGTTACACTGAGTTCAATGATTTGATTCTCTGCGTTTCAGGGCTACTTTATAAACAAAATAATATTTCCTTTTTTTTTAACTGGAAAAACTGCTAAGCCACAAGCTTTTGTGACCAGACATTTAACTGAAATGGCAGTTTGCAAACCGCATTTTTGTCTGATGAAGGAAATCAGCTCCTTACATTTTACCAACCTGCTCCACACTCTATATGAAATTACACTGCTATGCCAAGAGTATTTGGTTAGAAATATTTTATAGGGTACATGTACATATTACATCAAGTATATGAATCTATCCTCAGGCTCAAATGCTTTGGGGTTTACCAGAGAGATTACAGAGATTAAAAGAGTGTAGAACTAAAAGGGAACAACTGAAAGTATATTACCCCAAAGAGCTTAAAAAGAAACAGGGACCAGGAAAGGAGGAGGAAATGCATGGTTAAAGCAGTACTGGGTTCTTGACTCCATCCCATCTCTCCCAAGACAAAATCTGCTTCTGTCCCATTTGGTCTAACAAGGAGGTCAGCTCTGGTGTAGCTCCTGCAGCTCTTGGTTTTCAATCCGCATTCACCAGGGACAAGTGCTGGGTTTTTAGTAAAAAATGTGCTGCTAACACTCTGTTCCTCTGGGAGGGAATGCGAGTTAAAAAAAAAAAAAGAAGCAGCAACTTCAGAAGGCTTGGCAAATGTGACAAGTGCAGGGATTACTGGATGGGGAAGATCAGAGCAATGTTGATTGACAGGAAAGTGTGTGAACAGTGTCATCAATTTTACTAATGCATATGGTGATCATTTTGCCTGTTCCCCAACAACCCAGCACCAAACCTTGACCTGTCATTCCAGTAGATCGTGTGCTTTGTTTTTACACAGCTCTGTGCTCTGTGTTTCAGGATCACCTTCATCCAAGACAGAAATGTCTTGCTACAACCTGTGCCCCACCACCAGCAACATCTCCTGCCCCCAGCCCATTGCTAACAGCTGCAATGAGCCATGTGTCCAGCAGTGCCCCGACTCAACGGCCTTCATCCAGCCGCCCCCTGTCATCGTCACCTTCCCCGGCCCCATCCTCAGCTCCTTCCCCCAGCAAGCCGTGGTGGGGTCCTCCGGAGCACCCACCTTTGGGGGGTCCCTTGGCCTGGGGGGCCTCTACAGCTCCAGGAGCCTCTACGGTTATGGGGGCTCTCTGGGATATGGCGCCCAATGTGAATATGGGAGTTCAGCCCTCTCCACACTCAGCAGCAGCTACTGCAGCCCATACTCATCCCGCCGGTACAGCCAGCTCCTCCGCAGCAGCTGTGGGCCCTGCTAAAGGCAGCAGAGAAGCTCTCAGAAGAGCCACACATGAAGGCCCAAATGCAGAGCAATGAGGATGGGGGTTCAGTGTTCCTGCAGCCCTGCAATGGAGCTACTGCCACTTAGCATTTCTGATCTTTCTTCTACTTTTTGTTTACCCTTCAGTTTCTCATTTGTTGTTTGCTATTGTTGCCTATTCCAGCTTTCCCATTTTTTTTAACCATCATGGAGCAGCGTATTCCATACGGACATCACTCATAATGACAAGTATCTTCATCAGTAGTTGCACAACAGACAGAAGAAAGCCAACTGAGGACAGCAATATCTCAGAGCAGGACATTTGTTGAACATTCTGTGAAATTGTCTGGAAACAGATTTTTCATATTCTATGATATCTCGCTTTGCAAACATAGGCATTTCTTGCTCATTAAAATTTTGTTGCATCACACAGCAGCCTTCTGGTTTCCCTTCCTCCCTTCATCCACAGCCTGTCCTGGGTGATATCTTCCCACAGGCAGGACCAAGCTACTAACTGAGCAGTAGTACTGCAGAATATTTTAGCACAGACTGAATTTACACAGTGTCACAAATGTTTCTGCAATGACACTCCTGAGTAGCAGCTTTCCATCACTCGAAGTTATGAAAAGTTTAAAATAACATAGTATCTTAACTCCTGTTATTTAAACATTATTTCTGTGGGGCCTTTCCATGAGCATCCAAACAGAGAGTGGGTTTCCATGTTGATCTCAGCATGACCACAAATGCCACCAAGGTGGTGCCCAGCAGAGTACTTTCCAAATGTAAATTTGCACCTATAAATTCAGACACAATGCACAGCATTAACATTGCTCAGTGGTACTTAAACGCCAGACATGCCAAGCAGCTAATACTTATTCCTTCTTGCAGTCATCAGCCTTTCCACCTCAGTAAGAAAGAGGAATAATCCCTATTCCCTCTAAGAAATAACTGTAGTATAGTATCAGGAGCAGCAGAGACTCAGGGCTTTTCAGATTCTGGTAATATAGCCAATTCAAATTGTAATGAAGCTGCAAATGAGGCAGGTTCAGTGCTGTGCAAACAAAGAATAAAGCTAATCCCCGCCCTCAAGTGCTTTCAGAGTAAATAGGTAAGACAAGCAAAGCATGAGCATCATTGGTCTTTTCCCTTTTTTGCAGATAGGCATCTTTTATACAGACATTAAAGGCTGTGTTTTCCATACTGATAAAAACATTAGTAAATATTTTCCCCAGGTGACAAAGGAATCGCTTGGCAAAGCCCAGAACTGAATTCATTTCTCCAATATCTCCATCTAACAATTGACATAGGGTCTTGGTTTCCAGTTTTCTATTCCACTGGTTAGCTTCAGGTTTGCTTTTCGTTGCTACTCTCATCTCCTTTAGGAAAACAGGAAAATAACAGCAGATAAGGAGCACACCATGTAATATTCCTGTCTATCTCTTTGCTCTGGTGTCAGGAACAGTGACAAATATTCGGACAGGGAGAATTTCAGTACTGCTAATTTCCATATTAATATTGAAATTTGTCTGTAATCTAGGTCAGTACTCTGACTGCTATGTGTGAGTCAATAATGCTGGTGTTTAAAATCAAAAATATCCTGATTACTTTTGTTTTAAGACAGGACTCTGAAAATGAGATAATCAGTCCAACTGACATGTTTCCATGGAGTTCTGCTTATTTTAGGTGAAAGATGGTATATGGTATGGCCAGTAGTATACAGGACATAGGAAATTTAACAGATCATAGAATCATGGAATCAAGGAATGGTTTGCGTTGGAAAGGACCTTTGAAGATCACCTAGTCCAACCCCTCTGCAATGGGCAGGGACAACTTTCACTAGACCAGGTTGCTCAAAGTCCCATCCAACCTGACCTTGAACACTTCCAAAAAACAATGACTGAAGGATTCAAGACATGGATTATTATATAATTTGTTTTCTAAGTAAGAAGGGGAGAATGAGATAAAAAAAAGATTCCTTTCTTCAGGTTTCTCTGATAGAACATTTTATTTAAAACATCTGAAACAGTCAAGTTCAGATCCTCCAATTGCAAAACTGTTAAAAGGTAGACTGCAAGTAGTCACTTTGCTAATTCCTTGCAAATCAAACCCTGGAAGGAAGCTGGCATTCAGCAGGGCATATTTCTAGTTCTGTTATGTTGAGCCATTGTGCCTGCAGGCTATTTACCAGTGGTGTGATTCTGAACCACAGAAAAAACCATTAGGCTTTAGTAGTGACTAAATATTTAGTGAATCCACCAATTCAAATCAAACATGAAAGGCCTAACTCCCACAGATATCTGTCTTGAACTGTAATTTAGTGCTTGGAGAGGACATATACTTCAGGCTGTGTTTACAACATCTTCATGAATCAACTTCTGATCGCATCTTATTTACAATAGTGTTACCTTGTACTAGGATATAAACATATGCTCAGAGCACATTCAGACAAGAGAGAGGAGAGTATAGTGACCTCTGTAGTTCAAGATGAGACACTGTGATTTCATTTATTGTTGCTTCCTGTTCTTGGTAATTACTTGTTTCACTGACAAGAGGAACAGGAGTCTGAGTTGCTGGTGCTAACTGTCAACAGCCTGGACTTCCCACGGCTGACCAAGAACTGCAGGAGACCTCGCAGTCAGATGTGGTCCCCATGTTGCTGTGGCCAGCAACCTGTCAAGATCTCAGCACTGCTTCCAGATTAGCACGTTAAACAGGAGCTGGTGTTCCTCCCATCTCATATCTGCATGTGGTGTGACCTGAGATGTATTGGGTCTGCCAGTAAAATTAGTTCTCTTGTATTCTACTGTGTTCGTCTGTGATTACACTTGCATGAAAGTGTCATCCAAGTTCAGCCTGATGTGCATTTGGGAAGTGGCAGATTGCTGATGGTCAGGAGCAGTACAGAACAATGGAAAGCAGTTAAAGAACTGTCCTTTGGCATTTGCTCTGGTCTATGGTCATAACATGCAAATTCAGGCTGGCAGATTAGAATCAGCAATGCAAATTTTGCATTTCCTGCTCTCCAAGGGGCAGTCTGTGCAGGTCACTTCAACAAATAATGGTGTTGTGGAGTGCTATGTCTTCAAGCACAACTCAAATTCAGTAGAGTCCATTGATCAATTAATACATACGACAGTGTTCTGTTTATAGTCCGGGCTCTAACTTCTGGCTCCCATGTGTGACTTTTCTGTAGTATAACAAGTATGTAGGCAGAGCAGCTTCACCCAGGTATGCTGACAACATCCACACTGAAGGATGTCTGACTACACATTTTCACCGCAGCATGAGAAACTGGCTGCTATTTCAAGTGCATTACAGAGGTGCAGCAAGATGGGTTGAGAAGAGGGTTGATGTAATTCTACTGTTCTCTGTGCAATGAAAACAAAAATCTTGAAAAGAAGAATTCTGTAGTGATCAACACCATAGTGTCTTGAAAATACCTGATTTGGTTGCTTTAGTTCTTTGCATACCTGCACAAATAAGTACTGTTTTTTTGACAGCATCCTTGTGACTCCAAGAAGAATCATGCATTGCACTGAGACAGAAGAAACATGAAAACAAGACAAAGCCTTCAGACACATCCTAACAAGACAGAGGTGTTGCCTGGCTACCTCATTGTAGCCTCATCTCATTTCAGCTAGTTTGACAAGTGAAGTCACAGCTCCAAACTCTTTGAAATTATTACCACATACTTGATCCTGTCCAAACAAATTTCTGCAGCATGAGACTGGGGTTTGCCTGGAATTAGCCTGCACAAGTATTGTGAAGTTTGTCAGTGCATTGCTGGTATTCCTAGGAACAGCACCTTCACACAAGGAAGTGCTGAGCGGTGTCTGATGTTTGGTCCATCAGAGTCCTGGTAGGCATTGCAAGCATAGGATGGGGTGAATGACTCTTAATAGGTGTACTAGTTGCATGCAAATTGCATCACTAGAAAAACAGCTTTACATGACATACTGAGCAGCCTGGAACCATGTTGCTGTTGAACAAAGAGAAGTGCTGAATATGCCCAGTATCCACAATCATCTGTGAGTAGCCTGAAATTTAGGTGTAAGCTTCCTGAGATGGAAAATATTATTTGGCCTGAATGACATGTGTTGCTCTGCAGGGAAGACTTAAAGAATTATTCTTTTATTTATTTTAACTGGGGTTGCCAAGAATTTAGAGCTATTAATGGGAACGTTCAAAGAACTCACAGAATTTCAGCAAAGATTTGCCATTCAGTTAAAAATTCCTGTTGGCTATTCAAAGGAAAGTTCTACCCACAGATCATTACATGCTATTTTTAAACAGTGAAAAATATCATAAAACCAATGTATGGGGATGTAATTAAATGGGAGCCTCAGGCAAGTAGTGAGACACAGGGAAGATCTTCAAAGTTACTCGTGTGTTTAACTTTCTTTGCTAGCATGTAGCAAATACACAGTATAACCACACCTGTCCTGGAGGAAATTTCAAACTTAGTTTTAAGGGTTACAAAACATGTTTATCCGGGATGAAATTACTTTTGTGCAGAAGGCAGTCATTATGCTTACTCCTGCTTAAAGAGCCTGCTCACCTTCCAGCTTTAGGCATTGAAAGAAAGCAAACACTGTCATATTTCACTGCAGAGGCTGATAGTCACCCAGAATGGTATATAAACAAAAAATTGTGGACAAAAAAAAAAAAAAAAGATAAGAAAGCTCAGTGTTTTGATGCACAATAATTTAATGAGAAAGAAGTAAAAGATCTTACTGAGCATGAAATACACAAGGAAAATATTGCCAGCGTCTCATTAAAGGCTGCAAGCAAAGAATTGCTCCAGGGCTATGCATTCCACATACTTTACTCTTTCTTTTTCATGGCATAGGAAGACTTACACAATCTTGTCCCACTTTCAACCAGCCAAAGATCATTGATATAACTAATTCGAGGCCATTAGTATCAGGAGGCACTGGAAAGAATAGTCAGAAAACTAAATTAAATTCTTAGCTTGAAAATTACATATAAAAGTGATATTCAGAGATGTACAGTTCACAGTCCAGGAAAGCAATGCCAGTAACAGGGTTTGTGGAGGCACATCTTCCCCCATGTTGGGTGATTGCTCCTTGCTCCTTATTCATTGCACATTTAACATGGTCTGCAGCTCCCAAAACCATAGCCACTGGCTCCATAGGAAGAATATGACCTCCCATAATTGTACAAGCTCCTACAGCCAGAGGAGCCACTGAGACCCAGAGAGCTCATGGATCCAAACAAGCTTCCAGTGCTGGATGGTGCTGAGCTGCTCACTATGCTCTCCTGAGGGCAGGAGCTGAGAATGGGTCCTGGGAAGGTCATGACCACGGGTGGTGGGTGGATCACAGCTCTTGAATCACCACAGGATGTAACACAGGGCTGGCTCCAGGCATTCACAATTGGCTGCGGGCAGGTCACTTTGCAGGGAGCAAGGCTGCGGAAGCTGATCATTTGTCTGTAGGAAGACATCTTCTGGGAATGGAGATAAATCTGAAACACACAAGACTGAGACAACACAAAGCTGAAAGCTTAGATACCAATATAATGGAGATTGTGCTTGGAAGAGAAAGAAAAAAAGATAGGAAGCAGACCAGAAGGAGACTGAGGATTTCAGTTTTGTCTCAGCAGCCATGTCCATTTTCTCATCTTCTCATGCTCTCCTTCTCTCCTCTGGCACAATCTCTGTTTCTTTTGACTCCTAATTATGGAGCCAATCTGATATATAAAAACACCACTAGCAATCAAAGAAATTGCGTATTTGAACTCAAGCTATCCCCCTATCCTTTACCATTTCTCCCCTCTTGAATCTGACTCACTGTGACACTTGACCATTTCTTTTATAAATAACTGCAGAAAAGAACAGAAATACTGGCTAGCACTTATATAGTAACAGCGTGTGCTGGTTCTGCACCACCTGTAATCATTACAATTGTATGAGGTATGTCATTGGTATTCCAGATTTAAGGAAGAGGTAACTGAGGCTGAGAAGTGAATACCTTGCCCAGAGCCATTTGGTGAGGTAACTGGAGAGACGAAGTTAAAATTCAGGCAAGCCTGGTTGTTCATGACAGTGTTATTCCCCAGTCTTTCAGATGCTACAGCTGGCACCAGGGCTCCCCTGCATGTTCTTTACACAGGTAAAATGAGCAGCAGCCACAGCCCTGAAGAGCTCATAAAGAGAGTTTTCTTGGCAGAATATCCCATGTTTGGGTGCGAATGCAGTATCAATGAGGTTTCCAGTATAACTAGGACTCCCGTGAATGTGGTCCCAGCTGTCCTGCTAAAGATGACTGAGGTGACAGATGACTGTGGCAGACCTAGGAGCTGTGTTTCATTTTGTGGACTCCTTTTCTTTAATCATAAGATCAATTGATCACTCATAAAATCAATTTGCACCTCCTCTTGATCTCTGTCCTGCCTTACTAAAACCCATAAAATGAAAGGCTAGGAATAAAGAAAAGGAATAAAGTCCTGACCATAACAAGTACATAAAGTAATGCATGTCAGGCTTCAAATTAGTTCAGAAATAATTGCAAAGAACAGGACAAAATATTATTGCTAATGGTGGCTTCCTAGTTCAGCCTGAGACTCAGAGTTAACATTTCTTGGTAGTCACCATTACAAGTCAATGAGAACAAAGCAGGGCAGATTCATAAAGGCAGGATGATCAGGCTGGAGAAAATAGGAATTCACTAAATCTCCCTATAAATAAGTTTGCATATTGCAAACTTTCAACTGCTCTGAAAATGCTTGCCCTTTTACAACCTGCCACTGAATAAGTAGGAAACAGCTCTTTCTGAAAGAAAGCTTCAAACATTTCACACATTTCTGAGACTCACGGTTTTCTTTCAGTTAAAATCCTGCATTGTTATAGCAACATTGTAATAGCAATAATGTCAGGCTCAGACTTACCCCTTCACAGCAAAGAGCAAGTCAGGAGAAATGGTTAGAGCAGCCCAGAACGGTAAGCGCTTTTATGCCTTTTCTTAGGCAACCAGGAGGATATGAAACATTCTTCATGTATGATGTCCTAATGCATTATTAAACAAAAATTCACTCCACCTGTAACTGCCCCAGATAATGCAATTATTTTGCTCAGCGATGGTGATTACTGTTGCGTTCTTGTCATTACTCTGACAAAGTAAATTTTTTTTTTTTATTGCTTTTTCCTATTTCTCTGATTGCTTCATAGAGCAAAGATTACTCAGAGGTTTATCCATAAACACAATATGCTGACATACCTGAGATACTACCCCACTTTTCAAAGTCATGCAAGTAAGGGGCCATTGTGCAATTTATCCCATCATACCCACGCGCATTAATTCCTATGACTCTGATATGAGGCACATTAGACTCCATAGACACCTTCTTACTGAGTTATAGGTTTGGAAATGGGAAGCATTTGTTCCCATCCTCCTAGCCAAGAAACAAACACGAAGGACATGTCCCACTTCAAGCTTTAAAAGTACAGGTGGAGTAACCTATAAGCAGGGAGCTGCTGTTATCCAGCCCTGGCATGGGGGACAGGAGCTTCAGACAATTAGAAATTCATGTCTATTTTTCATTGTCAGGGACTCTATGGGATCATTGCTGAAGACGTCAGGGCTCCTGAGTGATGAACAATTCATGGTTTGGGATGAAACAGGTCAGGGAATCAAGCCATGCATCACCCTACAAAAACTTTGGGCTGGAATCTTAAAGTGCTGTTTCAGCTGATGCAGAAGATTGGCTGCTTACTTCAGTAGATTTCTTCCTTAGATCCAGTACCCTGTCTTCAGTTATTTACTGATAAAACTATTTTCAATAGAGTCTATCTATTTTTTGTATCCAAGTTGGCATAATTTACAAATGCTTTTTTAACCTCAAGATGAGTTCTTCCCCTCTAAAATCCATCCCCTTCTAGGGAATTTAAGGTTGAATGGCTAGTTTTGAGTAACCTTGAGACTTCTGTTCTAAAATGCTAATTTTATTTCAGTTCATCCATCAGCATTTGGTAACTGTTACCAAAACTGCAGTGTAATGCTGTACAGGTGACCCATGCAAGAAGGTTGAGGAAGCCTCTTCTCCAGGGTCACCTTGGGATTTCCCTCAGTGTTGTTTCCTAGCAATGCCTGGGGAGACACCCTTTAAAGCTACTGATAATTTATGGTGGAGGATACACATAGACAAGAAACGGGAACAGACACAAAGGGAAGAAGATGTTGTGGGGAAACAATCCACACAGTCTGTTCCTCCTGCCCAAACCACACCTGGTTTCACTTTGACTGGAAGCAGGTGATGACAGCGATGACATGTACCTACAGATACCGACAGAAGAATCACATAATTCTTGGAGATGCGACCCTCTTCTAAAAATCCTACCCTCCTGAAAGGGCAAAGGGAGCCCATACTAGTATCAATACTGCTGACACCCCAAACTGCTTCTTTTGATTCATGATGTTCAGGGTTACAGCCACATGCTTTGCTTTTGTAATTTTACAGACCCACATCCAGGTGCCATCTTAATGTTTTCTCCCATATAATGGAAGCTGCATGTGTTTTACTGACTTAAACAATTCACAGCCACTTTTGCCAGTGCAAATATGGTATAGTAAAATATTCAGAGACAAATAGCTCTATGAAAAGCCATGTTAGCATGACATATGGACTACCTTTGCACAGATTCCTCATGTGGCAAATCACAGTACTGCTGTGGCACATATGAATCCATTGTAAGCAAACAATCATCAAACCGATTTACTAAATTAACATAAAATATTTTTATGTATATTAAGCACATAATTTTATTGTAACACCATCAAAAAAGACATTCAAACGTATCTGCAAAAACTTCCATGCGTTGATTTTGGATTATTTCTTTACAAGAGTGACTAAAAACTCCTCCTGGCTAGCTTGGATGAACATCACAATCAAGAATAGCAAAGGGACATCCTTCATTTCAGTTTGTTATTGAAATCCAAACTCTGCTTATTATGCCCAGGTATTTCTGTGCAATTCTTCCAAGCCCATGGTGGATGGCTGTGGAGTCAACCATCCAAGAGTGTATCTCATACAGTGTGGGTGGAATTTGTCTCATCTGCTAACATAGCACACCCAGGTTGTTCTGGCATGTCTACTATACCCTAGGAGGAGTCAAATAACAGCACATGAGAATAGCAATGAAAAATTAGTAACTGCCAACAAGGAGGGGTTGACTAGCACTTTCTGTTTGAGGAACAGTATTTCTAAGTTCTTAAAAAATAATATTTATGCCTTGGTATGGCTATACTTCAAGCCAAAAAGCATGACTGCTGTTGATGTGGACACATTAAACTCTGTTGTTGAAATGGCCACAAAACCTAGCTGGGACCATAAAATAAATATTCGTAGGGATAACACAAGATTCAGCATTGTGCTCTTGTGGCTTAGCTGAGAGCGTGACTCAAGCTGAGTAAATCAGAGTTATGTCAGACACCTCTAGACAAGGTGAATTCATGTCTCTGAGCTGAAGTGTTGGCATACCCTCAACTTATCTTGAAAATCGTGGTGCCATTTCCGGATCAGAATTACCGATGCCTATCTGGGACCTCCTGAGATAGCATTGTTGTCAAGATGAAAGTGTCTTTGGGGGGGTTGGTTGTTTTTTTTCTGAGATGACACCAAACTGTTCCCAGCTTCCTTGGGAGCAGAGAGGTTCTCCAGTATCCAGCAGTTCCTTTCTTGGAGTCTTTGATTTTTTAAAACTCTTCCTTAAATATCAGAGCTTCTTGTATTATTCTGATGATATGCCTGTGTAACAGCAGACTCTTTTATCTAAGTGGTATACAATCCTAAGAGCCTAATCAGGCACAGGATGCCATCTTAATGCAGTCTGCTATTAAAGTACTTCTAGGCTATATTCCCATGTGTCCCAAAGACATGATTTTGGTACTCTCTTCAAAACACAGTGTGCAAGGTTCAGCCAGCTCCTTGTGCACAGCAACAATACAGATATAAAGTGAGGACAAAAGTAAAGTGGATATATTTATTTTAATATAAAAATATATCTATGCTAAATATTGGCATATTCTAACCCTAATAACAGCACTGTGCATATGTATTCTTTGAAGTGTCCTGAAGCACACATACTTCCCAGTGCAAAGGTATTTTTATGATGGCGTTAACCATGTAAGATGCTGATTCTGGTTCCAGCTGCTGGGAAGGAGGAATTATGCATTGCACAGGACATATCCTGGCCCTATGCGTGTAGGCGCATTTATAATCATCAGCTGATAAAGGAATGTAAGGGAGAGAGGTGTGAAGAAAGGCTAGAATAAAACAAAAAGGGAATGCTATTATTAGGATGCAGCATGATTTTTATTAGGAACAAGAAATGGCATTTACAGTAAAAAAAAAAATGAAGGAATGTTTCTAGTTTCTCAGACCTGATTGCAAGCAATTTGTCAACAAGGAATGAATGTTTCACATAAGGTGCTTTTTCTTCCCTACAG